ACGCACACACACGCACACACACATACACACTCTCACAAACACACACAGGCGCACACACATACACACACTCACAAGCACACACATACTCACAAACACAAACACACACGCACACACACATACATACATACATTCATACAAGCATACATATAAAAATATATATGTCTAAAGGTGGAACGGGGGACCACGAAAAGGGGCGGACTAGCCCATAACGTGACTTCTCCAATTGACAGAGGGAGGGTCAGATACGTGTCACGTTAGAGATAAGAGTGGAGTGCAGGTTTGCCCCGGGGAAGGACAAGCAGTGCACATGCACTGTTTATATATATTGTAGATTAAGTGTTGATCATTTTGTAAAAAAATGTTTATATATTTAAATGTCTAACGAGCATTATATGCAATGAAAAGGTTGTTTCACTGATTATCTTTTCAAAGAAGCATGCAAACTTTGCACAAGGGCGATTATTGTTTTGGCAATATGACTTTGCGAAAAAGTTGGGGTTGAAGCCCATGTGTGCACCATCAGCAACACCTAGAATATAAATGAATATATACATGAAACAAAACCGCCGCCAGTGAACCTGATGAGATNCAGTGGCCAGTGAACCTGATGAGATTGTATCGTACATGTATTATTTGTCGTACATGTATGTCCATCAATGTATGGCAGACGTTGTTTCTGAAGATGCGTTTTCAAGGAATACCAAGGCATGTAGTTGCATGTCTAAGATCAGTTGTTATAAGAAATACTACACAGAAAACTACACGGACAACACATTCCAAGGATTAGGGCTCATCCCCCATGAAACAATCGTTCTCCGTAGAGCAAACCAACTCTGCGGGAACTCTCGTTAAATGCAACAGATAAGCACGGATTATTATATACATATGCATTTAATTTTTGATTATTTGTTTAAATATTTCATTTATATAGATTTTCTTTTTTCGCTGATCGAATAAAGTTAAATTGAAAAAAGAAACAGAAAATCAGGTGATTATACATGTACGTCTTACGTTGGAAACGAGAGGACGTTAGCTAATCTGAACACCTGATTGAATTCAGCGAGAGTTAGGTCCTTCTACGTAGAACGATAGTGTCAGAGCCCTTAGAGTAACTGATGAAATTATGTTCGTCCAAGGTTTTGAAAAAGAGTCGTTTTACTACCATGACAAGTATTACGGACGCTGCCAGGCAGGTCTGTGAGTTGTTAATACACAGTAGGTACTGACAGGTACTGAAATCAAAATCAGAATAACTGATGCATGCATACCTATTGTAGACGACGCGTGTCACACAGTTGCCATTATGTAATAGTCAGAGCTTAATCACTGTGTTTACCCGGCAAGAATAAAGCTAACCTGAACTGATTGGTTTTCAGAGCACAGAACTCGCCAAAGGACTGCTGGCACTAGGGATGAAGAAGGGAGATTTTCTCACCATTACAAGTGTTCCGGACGCTTCATATGTATATATGGTATATGCTGCAGCACAAATTGGCGTTGTCTTTAACGCGGTAATTACGTTATATTATCTCAAATTATATGCAATTTTAGCAGCAAAAACACAAAGCATAGAAAATTATATTGAAATGCATTTTCAAAGGAATTACAAAAGTATGACAGTTGTTTCTGTTGTCATGTTAAAGCCCCTCTGGCGATCCATTGGTTTTCCATTGAAACAAAAAATAGGGAAACAGAGCAAACGAACAATATGTGGTGCCTCGATATGAAACCAGACAACTTTTGTGTTTTTAATCTCCAAATATTAAAAAGATTAAATTAAGTTCATAAATAGGCCGGGAACAAGAACTTATTATATAGCATATTTTATATTATCTATTATTGAAGATCATAATAATAAACGAGTCGCATTTCAATGTACTCCATGCTATGGTCTTTACTTAAAAATAGCAAATTTTACGAGATTACATATTGCATCGTATTGTTTGGTTCCATTGCCTCGCTTTCAAAAATTAGAACAGGCGCTCCAAAACCGGGAGAAACCGGGAGAAAGTAAAAGAAATTATATTGGCCAAGTTCGCCCTTGCACAAGAATGTCCTCGCAGCATTATCTGCAATTAAGCTTCCTACGATTTAGAATGTATTTTGCAATATCAATTTCAATCTGGCCCATGAAGAATTTTATTAATCAAGAGTGGGGGAGGGGTGAAAAATCCCAATTGGGGCCACATACATGTATAACACTATAAATACAATGGGAATCCCTTTAAAATGAAGGTAAAATAAATGTTATTCTAAGGAATTCCGACGGATTTACTTTTTACAAGATAAAATCACTCGAACATTTCTAATATAAATTTTCAAAAAGACACCAGAGAGCAAATGAAATTAAATCAACCAGACGGTAAACACCGGCAGGCTTTGTCAATTTCACCAACTTCTCAAACAGCGCACTTTTCGCGCATGCGTAGTTGTTTGAAGCCTGTGTTGGGAAACAGTAGAGCCTTCAGGTCTTTAAAAAACAAATGAAATAGAACACGTGTGTCATACATTCATCTTATCATGTAAGATCTGCCGATGTGACCTTATGTTCCAAAATAATACACCGACGTTATACATCGATGAGACTTCATGTCTTTTCATTTTAGCCGGCGTATGCGTACCGACCACGTTCAAAATTCCTAGACATAGCTCTTAATCAAGTATGTATTGCGACAAAATATGTTAAAGCGTAAATTCCAATGCAGAGGTGTGTTATTTCAAAGCAATCGATATTTTTAAGGTTTTGAATATGTTCACAAAAACTGACAATTTTTGCATTGTCATGATTCTGACACTATCGACTGAGACAGTCAAACTTGTATTTTTGTTGAGTAATGTATAAAATTCGAAAAAAAGGCATTTGTCATAGAACCCATGGCATCGATTCCTTATTTCAGTTAAAGTCAAAAACACTGGTGATTATAGAAAATGAGGCCGGAACAAATGTCGCTGCTTTGAAGGAACTTATACCAGACTTGGAGACATTTGGCGGAAGAAACATACAGTCTAAAAGGTAGAACCATGGGGTGTAGTCCTATCCCAGTTGTGACGGGTAAACTTAGCACCTTGCTGTGATAACAGTCAATGTGAAAAAGAAATCTTATGACCCCACACTGTGACCGCGACACGCCACTGTACTTCTGATGTTAAGTAAACCAGATTGGCTCGATCTCTATGGCGAGCTGATTGCTGTAATAAGCTTGTACCAAGTTAATGTGTCACTACTGATCCGAAAAATTGCCTTATCTTGTCAAAGTAAATGCAAAACGGTGTAAAACCTACTGTAAACCTAAAAGTAAAACCAAATGGGTGTGCAGGTGTTTCCTGGCATCTTCCTGACCTCTACTTGATCTCTCCCTGGCCTATATCTAACCTTTTCTTGACCTCTTTCTGACCTCTGTCTGAGATCTGCCAGAAATCTGTCTGACCCCATTTCGATAGCTGTATCCTTAAAGGCACAATCAGAGGCGCAATTGTAGTCGCAACACATACTTACGAAGATCTAAAATCCGTACTCAAAGTTGCTAGCTAATTCAGTTTCCAATTACCATGTTTTGAACATCATCGGTACATTTAAGTACCTTTAAATATTCAGCTCAAGTGAATTTATTTCAGGGTACCCCATCTTAAGAATATCATTATTCCAAATGTGTCGAAAGCAGCGTACGGGTAAGCGCCATCTTTATCTTTGTTTATCCTGCTGTTCAATTATAAACTTATATACGTGTAGTAGACACATTATAGGCATACTAAGAAAGTTAATTACTTATATCCCAGAGAAACAGCCACGAAAGATATCAGTACAAAAGTATTAAAAAATAATATATTTCTGGAAGTACTTTACGACTCACCTTTTGATCTAAATTTCAATAAAATAATTTAAGATAAATAATCTACTAGTCATATACTGTATCAGTGTTCCTCGTCGTTTTGTTAAATGGGCAGATTTATCTCATTTTGTGGACTGCTGGTGTTTGACTTTTGGTTAAAGAAATCTGTTATCGAAAATAAAGTTTGAATTTTTCAGCCTGTCCTTCGAAGAGGTCACAAAGCTTGGTAAAGATATTTTAGAGGACGTCATCCAAGCAGCCAGAGACGCCTTTACTGGAGATGATCCTATAAATACGGGGCTGTCCTCGGTACGGAATGATATGAACCGATTGCCCAGCAAACACAGAAAGTCATTATAACATTATCATAACGTTTATACAACCACAAAACGTCATGGTAACGTTATAATAGCATTCTTTACTTGTTGGGTTTAAAGATGCATACAAAGTCAATTTTTTGTCACAAAAATGTTGTCTGTGGAAAACATCACATTAACATCGTTAACTAACCTTTTGACTCCAGGGCAGCACCGGCGTTCCTAAATGTTCCGTCAATAGTCACTTTAAGGCGGTCAATTTGCTCAAGTTTTCCTTACTACGGTATGCTGACTATAAGAAGGTAATAAAGACCATTTTTAAATAATGTTCTTCCTGTGATGTGAAACCTTTAGAAAACTAGAAAAATGTAGCCTTCTATCCTTTGACATTTCTTACAAGGATTCTCAAATGCAACTATATACAGTAGTTGCCTTTAGTATATATTACAGTAATAAGTGCTTTTTATCAAACGGTAGTACTTGACGTTGCTTTATACTGTAATATACAACCAATCTACAGTAGCTTATTAACCACGTCGAAACCGAGGATCAATTTGTACAATGGAGACCCCTTTCTCATCTTGGTTTACAATGGATGACCCAACAGAAATATCAGATGTTGGAAATCCTCTTGTTTTCTGATAGACTCTGTGTTCACCAATCTACCTATTGGTCTATAGGTTACTCTATCTGTTGATTTATCTGTTGACCTAAGTACTAGCTATTGATCTATTTATCAATCTATTGCGATACCAGCCGGTGGTAGTTGGAGTGGGTAATCCCGTTGACGACGAACTGGTAGCAGATTACGTCTACTGGGTCAGTGTGGAGTATGAGAAAGACATCCAGCTGGTCATATTACCGTCCACACTGTGGGACGCAGAATTCCAGGGAGAGAACGAAGATGAGGGGTACCACATGGAGGATTTGTACAAATCTATACACGAGTGCAGGTATGTTGTATTGCGTTAGTCACTTTAAGCCCCTGTGACACTGGGCTTGCAACCTCTTGGAGAACCAATTTGAACTGCCGTTTTTGTGGTTAAACAGAATATGTTATATTTCTATGGGTTATTCACAATGTTTTAATTGTGAAAAATAGATCTCATACGAAGAGTTATTATCCCTTTAAAGAAATTGGTAATGGGCAAACTTTGTTGTCCAAACCGTCGCAAACCCAGTGTAACAGAGGTTTTGTAGTTTTGAACCTAGGTTACAGCATTTCGAAGGTTTAAATTATTTGGGCAACATCCGGTTAAGTTAGACGTCACGGTTCACACGTATTATAATGTATGGAGTATAATCTGGGTTCTCAGTTCAAGTTTTCTTTTAAGTAAAAAACGTAATTCGTTTTTTAAAATAATGAAATATTGATTATGGATATTAGCCAAATAAACAATAATTTGTAGATATTTTTGTTGTTCTAGGGGGAAAACAACGTTTGTATATTTTGACGTGGTCTGTGCAGACGTCCTTATAAATGTTACCGCGCTTTTTGACGTTCAAAACCAACTGGCGAACCAATTTACTCCCGGACAACATTAAACCTCGATTCCTTCTTTAAATCTTTCGTTTCCAAGTGCTCCTCTAATTTAAATTTTGAAAATTGCAAATTTCAAGACTAATGCAAAATTTGATTTTAGTTAAATATATCTCAGCGGAACTTACTCAAGAAGCAGGAGTTTTTAATGTCAATGGTACTTTATGTAACTGTACACTTTTTGTTATCGCAGTTTTTTTCATTAAAATATAATCGCCATTTTACAGGATCACCCACCTGGAGCTGTACCCGACATTTCTGATGAAGGGTCTGGAGCTTGATGCCGAGATTGTCCAGAAATACGACACGTCTTCTGTGAAACGAGGTACATTTCTTCTTTGAAAAATGTGTACTTATTTGACAAAAGGTTGAAGATTTACATGGGGTAAAATTACCCCTGTAATAGCTAATTATGAGCATTAAAACCAGGGCTCACTTTAGATGCTGTGTAAATATATAAATGTACTCCTTCGGAACTGTAAATCATCTAAAAACAATCTTTCAGGCATTTGTTGCACCGGTCCCTTGTTTTAAGTTTGTCCTAGGCCATGTATACACGTATATCTTATCCCTCTCCTCCGACACCTGCATGCACTATAGACTGTTTGAATCAAGGATGTTTTTTTTTTGCTTCTTTAGGTATTCTCACGTCCACAGTTATCACGGAGAAACTGAGAGAGCGGTGCTCAAAACTAATCCCAGAATTTGTGGTAAGGTTTTGCCTTTCGATGTATTTAATTGAGCCATATAAGATATTCTAGGTGTTTCCTTATTTAGGTTAGGGTCGTGTGTTGATTGTTCCTTAAAGATTAAAAGATTTTCCAGTATCCTTTTGATATAATGCGGTATGCTAACGTGTATCTTTAACCTTTAAAGGAAATATAGAATTACAAGATGTCTTCTCTGGTCTTCGATGTAAAAGGAAATAATGCAAACTCGCAAACACACAACTTTCAGAAGCATTGTATAAATTGTTATGATCTTGAACACTATGAAACTACAGCTTGAATTATTTCATTTACGAAGAGCGAAAGAAGACCATGTTTTACATTTATTTTCCGATCAAAATAAAGCTTACAGAAAGTTGTAAAACAGGTTGCAGATGCATTTTTTTTTTTTTTGGGGGGGGGGGGGGGTTACACCAGGTTTGTCTTTTATATACCCGGGATTTCATCAGATTACACGCCATACACTTTAGACCGTGCCCCCCCCCCCAGAATGACATTGACCTTAGATGTAAATACCTGTAACACCACATGGCCAACACTAGATTCTGGGTTTTCAATACAGCACTGCTAATGGATATATTTTGCTTGTTCATGAAAGTAAAAAAAAGGGATTGTTGGTTTTAAGCTGATGTACGTCAATTCACGCTTGGTGTTTTCAGGTCGCACTCGGCACTACAGAATACTGGAACATCAGTATCACCTATCCACTAGATGACGACTTTGACCGCCGGTACCGCGGTATTGGCTTTCCACCGCCACACACTGAGGTGTGTGTGTGTGTGTGTGTGTGTGTGTGTGTGTGTGTGAGAGAGAGAGAGAGAGAGAGAGAGAGGGAGGGAGCCAGACAAAGGGAGTCTTCTCCAAAGTTTTCTAAATCAATCAAACAAACAAACTTCATTATAACTATAGTTGTGTAAAACGATTTTCCATATAGGCACCTTCTACCATTATACAGAGTTTAGTGACCCCTGATACGAAGTTTTTGCCTCCAATAAAGTTATTTCCAGGCCGTCTATTAGAAAAATCAATATGTAATCAATATATCAAATAATCTTTAGTCATATTGCGTTCAACAAACTGATCTGTTTCTCGATATTTCAGGTGAAAATAGTTGATGCAAACAACAAGATCGTTCCTCTAGGTGTGGAAGGGGAAATATGCGTGAGAGGGGTGTTCATGTTCAGTACTTATTACGGTTCTGAAGACTTGTACAGGAAAGTGGTGTCACCGTGTGGTTGGTACCATACTGGGTATGTTATGTGTTAAATGGGACAACGCGTTTGATGAGTTGAAACAGCACTCTGGGAGAGTGTGGTAGTTGTGACAACACAATGGGTGAGTGTGGTAGTTGTGACAACACACTGGATGAGTGTGGTAGTTGTGACAACACTGGATGAGTGTGATAGTTGTGACAACACTGGGTGAGTGTGGTAGTTGTGAAAACACACTGGGTGAGTGTGGTAGTTGTGACAACACACTGGGTGAGTCTGATAGTTGTGACAACACACTAGATGGTTGTGATAGTTGTGACAACACACTGGGTGAGTGTGATAGTTGTGACTACACTGGGTGAATGTGATAGTTGTGACTGCAGTGTGAAGGTGTCAAAGTTGTGACATATCGTAGCGCTTAATGCAACTGCAACTAACATCCTAGATATGTTTTGACATGTTTATAAACTTTGATGAAAGAAATAAGACGTGGGGTGTTTGCGAAGCGTGTGCTTATCCCGATCCAATTAATCACTTTCTATTCCATACCCCAGAGACATTGGTACGATGAATGAACACGGGTTTATGTACTACATTGGACGGAAATTTCATGTACTCCATTTTTCTCGCTGGGGCGACAAGGTTTATCCTGCTGCTATAGAGATTGCAGCAGCAAAACATCCTAAAATCAGTCTGGCACAGGTGAGAGAGAGAAAGAGAGAAAGAGAGGCCTGTAGGGGAACGGTTGTGGGGAAGTCTGGAGCACACTCTCTAAAACAACTTGACTAACTCGTTTTGGTATAAGCAACGTCATTAATACCCCTGTACAAAATTTTCCATTAATGATATGATATCAGTACTTACAACTGTATGACTCACGACATATATACATGTATTATAGAAATACACGCTTGATCGGAAGAGTCGAGTGGTCGTTTACGAACGTTTGTGTTCTGAAACAGGACATTTTGCCATGAAACAGTGATAAACATAGCTATAATATAATTAAAGGAAAAAACGGCCCTGTTTCTGAAAATGCACGCACCTCTATATCGCTTACTGTTGTAATTGTTCTTGAAAGGTGCTCCCGATCATCACAAGGATGCTCATTATATCCATTGCCTCGAAAATTAATGACATATATCAACAAAAGGGCTCATTTTTCTGTGAACGGAACGCATATATTATTATTATAATCATTATAATTATTATTATTAAGATAATGATAATGGAGATGATGATGATGAAAGTGATGATCTTTTTGCTTGGTTTAGGCAGTTGGGTTTAAAAAACCGGGCGAAGATGACCTTGATACCATCATTCTATGTGTTATGTAAGTAACCGTATGAAGTTCAATCTTTAAAATACGCGTACGTATCTAGCTGCAAAGTCTGCCAAAATGATTACTACGTATCTATACAAACCTCTCGCCAAAATGCCGTTGACTATAGCCCTTTTCAGAATAGCGGTCTAACTAGTCCGAGGTTCGAATATGGCGACCTTCTACAAAGCTTGCCGTCTAATCCGCTAATAGACACTAAATAGATGTCCCGTGGGGAAGTATTCAAGTGGTTCCGCCATATTTGACCCTCAGACTAATTAGCCCCCTATTCTGAATGGGGCCTATATAACAAGAGCTCTTCAGCGACTCATTAGACTCGTGGATTTATGATATCATTTGGATATTAAAATGTGCATTAGTAAGTTCAACATGAAGTTATAGTTACTTTACGAACTGTACAATTATTTTGGTCCAGTCCATAAAGCAACCTTACAATTTACGCTGTGTAATTCCAAGGTCACCGTCCTGGTATCATTATAAACAAGATTGACAGTGCTTAAGTGTCTAATAGGACATACATCGAATTAACGCGTGATAGCGCGTGCGTGTGAGTGCGTGTTAACTCGAGTGTATATAAGTGTGGGTGTGAGTGTGAAAAATGCGTGAAATGTGAAAAAGGGAAGGTAATAAGATGAATGAATGTGTGCGTGGTACCTGTGCGAATAAGCATGCTTTATATATTTATGAATCGTTTTCTTTTCTATTTCTCTAGACCTATCCAAGGTCAAAATATAACAGAAGGTGAGCTCCGATCTCATTGCCAGAGCGAGGTGAGTGTGAGCCATTATGGGGGAAAAATCCAGTCAATTATATTACGTCCTCAGTAATAGTCAAAACATAGAAATCAGTGCATGTATCATTAAGACTTATGGTCAGGAAATTGTCTGCTCTGGTGACCACTACCATACCTATGGCGTAGGAATTGTTTAGAAAGACAGCTAAGGGTGTATTCAGCTGGGATTCTCGCTGGGTGCAACCAACTTAAAAAATAACACGCCTTCACCTGGCGTGATGTACAGTACAGAAAAGCTGGTGATTATTCGAACTCTTTAGAAACAAAATAACTGGCAAATCACTCAACTAAGCCGACTGTGGTTAACAAGAGTCCCTCGCAGAGTTGGGTCGGTTTATGTGTCTTTATGTCCCTTACGTGTGAAAATCTGGACTGAAAAACTAGGATGATTACTTTTAGAATCTATAAACATCTAACGTACGCCTCATAACGTTCACATCGGGCCAATCTTGACCAGGTAGGACAGCAACTTCACGACGTCACCAAGAATTCAGATTGCTTAACGTGGGATTGAACATTGTACGACGCTGTATTTACTCCTGTTATCTGTCCATCTGATGACGTCATTTAACTCCGGACTAAGTTAAGCTGAGTGTGAACACTCATTATTTGGAGCCTCACTCATGGCCCTTCTCTCCTGTTTTTTAGGTTTTGGATTAAATGTGACCGGGCCCTATAATAAACAAATCGAAGAATAAGGCCCAGTGAGAGGTAACGGTCGCCATATGACGTCATTTAGCCTAAAATTGTTTCTGCATAATATGGATATAACAGCCCGCTAATTCCTCATTTCAGCTGTTGGATCACATGTGGCCGGACCACTATGTCGTCATGGATACGTTCCCTAGGGTGGGGATCAGGCAGAAGGTGACTATATTCACTGTTTTGACCTATTCTGTGTGTGTGTGTGTGGGGGGGGGGGGGATGCTCCTGCGGGTCCGTGTTCGTTTAACACGGCATGTATGCACTGTGGTATTTTATAGTGTTATACCTAAAACCTACTTATGCCAAGCCATTTTTCTTTGTGTTCTTGTAATGAATATCCCTCAATGTTCTGGTAATGAATTTATCTCATAATTGTGTAATTTGTGCAAATTTATAAATTTATATTTCATTTCTTGCTGACTTTTATCATTTCTAATCATGTTTAAGCTAGCAATCACAGTAGTTATTTACTGTAGTAGCACATGCGTGAAGAGATGCTTTCTCCAACAGTAAAGAGTAATTTCACCGTTGATCATACACGCTGCTTACTGCTTTTTGTTATCCAATTTCAACTCGTACGATGTTCCGACTCCAGGTATCCAAAGAAAAACTACTGAAACTTGCCAAGAAAATTTTGCTGGATTCCGGGAAACTGCAGGCCAACGAGGTGGAACTATAAAAGCAATTTGACGACAGCGTCACAATATGCGATATCTTTATTTATTTATATACGTACAACAGAGAGCATGTTCAAATTATGTGAATTTATTTATTCTGTATCTGAGGAATTATAACTTACATAACATCTTTAAACACTAAAGTAATATAAATGTATGATGTGATGTGATGTGATTCCAAAAAGACACAGTGTGTACTTGAAAATATAATATACAGTATAGCATTGTAATCTACTTATTTTTTTTCTACAATATCCATAAAATTAATCTTCTGCACATCTCACAAGATTTCTAAGAATGCATAGTTAGCGACAAAATATAACCAATACAAGTTAAAAAAAAAATGAAAAAATTAAGGATTTTAACATATTGTTTAAATTTGTGATATATATGTATAATAAGATCTTTTATGGTGCAAAAACTGTCAACGCCTTTAATTAACAATGTTAATTTTTCTTATTTTACTTAGCGTATTTAACAATTTATATTATCGTACAATCCAACTATTTCAGGTACAAATAAACATTATTATTATTATTATTATTATTATTATTATTATTATTATTGATTAATTCTAGAAACAGTTAAATACTGGGTTGTCTGTTGACCCAGCAGACCCGTAGCAAGTCGGGGAGGGGGGTGGGGGCGAGACGAGCTCAAATACCTTCTACTTTATACTTTACAACATGTAAAGAAAATGCGGTCTCTGGACTAACTGCATGGCGGACTTAGAAACCTTCAAGTTCCAGTTTACTTAGTTTATTAATGATGTACAGACATGCAGCACTCTGCTTATTTTTTATAATTTTTTCAAGTCTCATTATTTTCAACTCATGCGCTTGTGTGCCAGTATATTTGTTCCAGCAAATCAGACCATGAGCTTTTGAGGCACAAAATTTGGAGAAAAAAAATACAAGTACAAGACACTAAAAAATTAAACATAAGAATAACACCGGCGACCTTTTAAAAGTCACGCTGATATATTTTAAGAGAGGTAATTTTTCACCGTCTACATGCAGCGCCTTCTGTTTGATTGATGAAGTGTCAGAGATATGGCGTGACTTATAAAAAGCTACACCCCGGTCATTCACCGCGAACAGCCACTAAGGTTTATGACGAGTGTTTGAAAAGCGATTGATCTTGTGCTTCTTCAAGAATGCCAGTACTCTCTTCTAGTGCATGGTGCTGTAATAATACTGTAATACCTTGTTGACGGGACGTTTTTTTTACTTACCAAAGTTCAAATATCAAGACGAGGGTGAATTTTTGGAATTAGAACAGAACCCTTTTGGAGCACAAATTTAATGACTTATTATATTGGGTGTCTAAAAAAGTTCAGCCTACAACAATTTTGAAGATATTGGAATGAAATTCGGGATATCTTAAGAATATGTTGTTTTTAATGATTGCTGGAAATCTCGTGAATCTACCTGTCTTAGTTTTGGCACACACATACACACAAACACACAGAGACAAAATAATAATAATAATGATAAATAAATAAATAAATAAATAAATAAATAAATAAATAAATAAATAAATAAATAAATTCTTAAGTCAAAAAATGTCCTACTAGCTTACACAGGAATGTGATTTCTGACTGATGCCAGTGTCTGAAAGTTTTGACACAGGTCTGTCTATCAAGTGTCAGGCATGCCAGGTGTAGACAGGTGCAGATGTCAATCACCGAGGCTTAGAAAAACATTACATTAAGGGAAACATAAGAAAGTGCAATTAGTCTTGGTGGAAAAAGCTACGGAATGTCTGTCAGCAAAAAGGAGGCCACATGTATCATTAGTTTAATAAGTAAAATCGGCTAGGCTCTAAAGTCGTTTTCTCTGTCATGGGAATTTTCGACAGGTGTTTTGATTTGATTTTACAGTAAAGTCAGAACTGTTCCACTTTAATGCTTGGAATTTCATGGTTGACCAATAGTAATGTATTAAAAATATGTTCGCAACTTGTATCCAAAAACTTGTGAACTGTTGCAGACACATAACTTAAGAATTAGTAACGCTTTTTAGCCGCCCGATATACGCCAGCCTCATGTCATGTTGAATATAATTTAACTTCATATATAGAAGATAAAAAATAAGTCCCCATCAAGCATCGAATTTAATAAAAGAACAAATATCACGAATCTTTCAAAAAGTAATTTATTATATCTTTGCAGAAGTAACGGGTCAAACATGGTACAGAATCGACCAATTCCATCCGGAGTAGAGGAAACGACGCCTGCCGTAACTTCTGAAATAGATGAAAAGAATAAATATCGTTATATGATACGTAACACTGGATTACTATGACGCAACATTTTCATCTGTCATTCACCCCTCCAACTATCTGTCCATCCCACACGTACTTGTCATCATCCAAACATAAAGGCAAATTCATTAAGGGCAAGGACCGAAAACAAAATGGAGGATTCTGGCCATGTCGCACTCAGCAAGAGAGAGAGAGAGAAAACACGAAAACAAGTAACCCAAGACAAATGCGAAATCGGCCAAATTTCATAGGTCGCTAGTGCGCACTTGTTCCACGGAGATTCTCGCTGAAAGCAATCAGAATAACAGACTAACACGCCTCCTCAGCGAGAGTCCGGGTGGATTTAGTGCACCCTGGTTAAGTCGTTCCAACTAATTCTTTCGCGCCCCTTAGGTCGACTTCTTTGCGAGACTTTGCGATTCTAAATGAAATCAACTGATTGCACTTCTTTGACTTTTGGGCTCCATACGTTTCTTTAAACCTACCAATATTCGACTGACATCTAACCAATGAGATTCACATTGCAGACGGCTCCCCTGGTGTAGAAGTGGCCCTTCTTCAGTCCGCTGATGGCGGTGCCGGGGGCACACTTCTGGAAGACAGCTCGGCCGTTGGTACAGAACACGAGGGTTGTAGAGGAGGCAGCGTACACTCCATCTGGGCCGCAGGCACCTGGTGATATAAAGATCAGTAAGGGGTGGGCAATGGTTCGGCAACGGTTCTTGTCCTATCGGTATCAGGCCCGTAGCCTGGGGGGGGGGGGTCGAAAGACACCCCCCTCCCTTTTTGTCGGCAAAAGGCCCCCTCTGGGTATAATTTTATTTAAGTACACGACAGTTTCCTGGTAAAAGGTCCACTTTTTTCAGAAAAAGAACCCCTCTTTTGAAATTGCTGTCTACAGGTCTGGGTTAGGTAGTTTAGCTTGTAAAAGGTGTAAGATTGCAGTAGCCTTTCGCTGAAAATCCAGCACGTCAGAGGTTGCCATCCATTATTTTACGTTTCATGGTAAGTAAGATCCTGATTCGTGCCCGCTGTAGATAAAGCCAGAAAATGTTCCAGCGGAGGGGATCAAGAGACCTCAGTTTAAGAAGGGTATCATAGCAAATACTTGATATACACTGAATATCATACTTCATTACAACTGAGGAAAGGAACCTGCACATTATTTTCAATAATTGCACAATGAGGACGAAATGAGGACCAAATATAAGAAACAAAGTTTTGAACTTTTACCCGACGTCAGCCAAACTTGTCAACGTCATGTTATTATTTGTAGATCGACCATACACTTTAATCATGACAAACGTATTACGTCTTACCTTTGTAAAATCCATAGTAACGCCAACGATAGAGACCGTGGAGATAGGCGCCTTTCCTGAAATTAATTAACATACTTGGTGCTGTACCTTGACGTAAACGAACTCGAACTAGATAAAAAAGATACAGTTCGTGGAAAACAATTTGTAAGCTTGTCAGAAAACATGTGAAGAGCAACGGACAGTGAACGAAGACCAAGTAAATCAAACCTCCCAAAATCCCGTCTAGGAAACATTGGTTTGAAGTAAGTTGCCCACACATTACAATAGTTTCTCTTATTTCTTTGAAAACTTGCTCAAACGGCATAAATGCCCACACATTTTACCAAACCAACAAGAACACTTTTAAATAACTTTTCAAGTAGATGGATATCTTCAGAATTTTAGAAAATGCAACTGACAGAAATGCTATAGAAATGAAAAAAGAAACAAACAAAAAAGCAAGTTAACAAAGAAGCAAGCAAGCAAATAAACAAACAAACAAATGAATGAATAATATACAGTGATTCTTACTTTGGGAGAAAGGCGCTTGTAGAAGCGACAGCGACGGCGGCAACCAGCAGGAACAGTGCAAGCTTCATAGTGGTACGTGTAGGTGCAGGACCAGATGAACAACTGACACCTGTTACATTGGCGAGGGGCCTTTTATAGTGACCAAGGGGTGAACTGGTGAAACAATCATCGTTTGTCTTCACGTCGTCTTGTCTTCAACGATTGATTTATTCCATGCTGTAGCTGGAAGACAAAGAAGTCTGCAATTAGCGGTTTTAAAGTAACAATATCGTAAGTGACAAGAGGAACACAAGGAATTACGTATCATTTAAAGCTGCTAAATACGTGGATATCAGTGTTATTTTAACATAACTGGCTATTGACTATTGCAATTCCAGTGTCAAGATGACCTTTGTTTCTTTGTGTTGTTATAAACATACCTTTTTTGTCGCTGTCGGGAATATATAATAAGCAACATTTATCATCACTATTAAAAACGACCAAAGACAAATCGAACCCCATGCACGTGTGCTCTACCTTTATGTGACTGCAAAAATTATTTCAGCATCAATGACCACAGGGGTTCGCGGCCGGCATAACAGTTAGTCTATTGTAGCTAAGTATGGTGTAACACGAAAGTTCATCGTTTATGAGCATTCGATGGGTCGTATATCTGTTGTACATACTCATGTTTCCTCTTTTTTGTTTTTGAAAGCTCACTATAGAAATCAATCACCGTTGTTGCTGTCTGTGCAATCTAATAAAAGAACAATCATTTTTTATAACTGGCACTGTGCAATTGTGGACTAATATGTCAAAAAATTTCTCTACGAGGGAGAACGTCAAAACAAGATGGTAAGGCATGTACGCGTTTTTCTCTAAAATTAATTATAGCACAGGTACATATTTTACTCTTGAGGAAATCGCGGACGTTTTGTTTTTAGCGTTATGTCCATGAAGTAATGACGCGCATTTATTAACACATGAGCTATTCGAGTATGCTACGCAATTGAATTCTTAATACATTGCCACCGTAACCCAAGACACAAACAATTTTCAATTTTTCTCAATATTTTAGTGAAAAAAATATGATGGGATATTTTTGAAAACGGTAGTAGATATGAAGGGCTGCACTCGAACAAGCAAATCAAGAAATCGAAATAGAAAACAGAGTCAATCAAATATTTGCATTAATGCATCTAGATTAATGGTTGTAAAGAACCATCCACTTCGTCCCGTTTACATAATTGGCATGTCATAAATTTAGTTACAAAACAAGTAAAGTGTTTATAATGATTAAATTATTATTTTTTACATAAAGAAAAAGACCCAGGTTCAATGATTTATCGTTTTTTATGCCAAAAATAGAAAATGACATATGGCTTTTTTACTAGCACGCAAGCCATTTCATTAGTAGGACTACTGGAGCAAAAGGTCTGTCGTCTGCCGCTGCCCAGTAAGATATATAGATGGCGCCAGTCATGTTGCCAGTCACACCACGTCCGGGGGACTTTCTATTCATCAAACTTTAGTCGACTGTCAGTGAGTTAGTACCTTTCTTGATGTGCACTTTTGACTCCAATGTTATCACTGGGACTAGCTTCATTTTTTTTGGAAAGTAGCTGTATGCTTGGCCCATTATCCTTGCTAACTGAAGACATTTATGCCTCCAGGCCCGTAGTAAGTTTTTTTCGGGGTGGGAGGGGGGGGGCGTTTATGTTATCCAAAGTTTGAACGAAACCAGAGAACACATTTACAGTCTAACAGTTACACCTGCTGGCTATAAAGACATAAACACAGATTATTTCTGTCAGAAATACAAAGTAAAAACAATGAGCTCATTGATGGATGATAAACATATTTAGATGTCATCGTTCCTGTACAACAGAATTATTGCTGGGGCTCACAATTTCAGCTTAATTTGACAACGAGGACGGTGGTGCACATACTGTAATCTAGTATATGATGCAACGTTACGAAAATGACGCTTTCTTTCAATTGAAAATGGTCTTGTTTTTAATAAGCGCAAAGAGACAAACAAACAATGTACAATAAAAGTCCGGGATTATTACATATACTTATTTTAATCAACCGCATTTTTAATAATCCTTCTATCTGCGTCTCCACTACTATTCTTCACTATTTATTGGTTGCCAACAACAACAACTACACAGTTACTTTAACTACTGCTACTAAAAATAAGTCTTAGAATTAGAACATGGCAACAAACTACAGCTTTCTTTGATCATGATTTATTTATTCAATTAGTGATAAGCGAGTCTTTGGTGGGTCATGTAAACCAACAACTGATTTAAGGAGGTTCGAAATGTATGTATACTAGTGCAGCACACTTGAAACAAGGGTTATTTAATTCTTGGTAGCTGGTAATGTATGCATTCTTTTACTAATAAATGTTCCATTAAATGTGTATCAATTTATTACACGAGTGAAGATTTAATTGGACGAGACATATTTGTCACTGGTTCAACTTGTAGTCTTACGTTATATCATGTATCCATGGCGTTGTGATCAGTAGGCGACATCTACACAGTCTGGAGAAATTAAGTCTTGGTCCAACTGGGCCGTAACTTGACATGTAAGCACTATAAATGTTTTGCTTGTGTATGTAAGTAACGAGCTTTGTATTAAGACTCTAGCTTAGGCGTTTATTTCCACATGCGAACTTGTCCACCTTTGGCCCTAGGTTTCAAGTGTATCTATAGGTATGTATAATCATTCAGTATAAATCATGTTGTAAAAGTCGCCACCCTCTACAACTCGATGTGTTAGCTGTGTGTACATTGTTGGGCTAAGTACTGCGTGTGTCAGCCAGGCAGCTGGTACATCTATATAAGGTAGTTTCTTGAATATCACATCTGAAACAGACAGGAAAAGAACAATTAGGATGCACCAGCTGGCGTCTGCGTATCTCTCAATGGAAGCCGGTGTGACAGGAATGGAAGTCCGGGGTCCCATATGTTTGTACAGGTTAGGGTTAGTTGGGGTTTTGGGGTTAGAATATGGGACGAATGTCACCTGTACAAAGAAATGGGAAGCGGACCACGGTTCCTAGTGGACTTCCATTCCTGTTACACCTGTGTAACATAATAACTTTAGTCTAGAGCCTGTTTGGTCTGAACTTAAAGATTCAAAAATGGCAATAATAATTTATAGTTTACATGCAAGGTCATTGTCCCCAATAAAAAAAAAACAATTAGGAGTGAACCAATCATTATGACATGGTTACTTAAACAATGTAGCGGGAACCAGAATACACGGAGATGACGGATAGAAAACTAAAACACAGGCAATCAAGCTACCAACATCGCCCACCTCGGGGTCTTTCCTTAGTCTCTGTATTCCATCATGGCGACCAGTCTTCCAGACATCAGGCTAGGGCTGTGCAGGTGTACAACCAGGTGGATTGCCAGCTACACGGGGGCAGTTCATCCCCTTGTAGAACGCCCAGTGAGAGGCAACATACGTGGTCCCGCAAGCTTCCATAGGGTTCCTATAAAGAATATGTGCAACATGTGGAACCATGTCTAGTGACATAGTTAGGTATTTGCAAAGTACAATAATATTCGAAACATGATATATCCTTGGTTTGATATAATGTTATTCACAAGTTTGCAATAAAATAAATAAATAAATAAATAAATAAATAAAATGGTCGATGTACATCTCCCCCATCGCAAAATGAATTTAAGAATATGATACATATTAGAGCTTTTATTAGAAATTAGAAAAAGTAGTCAACAAATGAGATTATATTATCTTCTCTCTTAGGAGAGAGGTGGCTTTAGTTTTGCAACTTTTCATCCTTCAAACACTCAAGCCCGGAAACAAATCCATTATATGTTGCAATTTATATCAACCATTAAAAACCAATATTTTATTTCTTAAAAAGAATAATAATAAAAAACACCACCAACAACAACAACAACCCGAAAAAAACCAAATCTGTAAAGTTACGTTATTATGCATAATCAGTTATCTATATTACTGCCAACAGAAGCAATTGTCTGCTTAAATTAAATTTTTTTNTAACTAATAATCTCTTTTAGAACTAAGCATGGATGAAAATGGACATAAATTTTAGAAAACTGTTTTTAAAAAAAGTCCTCGAAATTTTAGTCTCTGCTAGCACAATGAGGCACATCTGGGCACAATACCTATATCGCACCTAACAGTCTGAACATTAATTGGCATTCGTAGAAAATGTATTTCTTTTCTTTAGACGGTACCACTATTTTTAAGTCCTTTGTAAAGGTTGAATTTTGCAATTATTGGTCTTATTTCCCCCTTTTTGTTTTCTGCTCCGATTGTATACATATAATAGTTTGTCAGCTCCCCCTGACTGTCTAGGGTTAATAGTCAAAAAAGCATTTTTCATTTCCTTCCAGGACTTCATTTTGCATCTTCGGTACATTGTTTGTTACAAGATTGTTTCTTCATGCTATGTGCATGGTTTGAGTAACAACTTCTCCTATGTTTCATCTTTTTATTTTCATTCACAGATAAGTTGGAGGCCCTTTGGTAAAGAGTCTATCACTCCTCAGAGACTGGGCTGGGATCTGCTAAATTTCATATATCCTGTAACTGTGGTGTTACTGTTACTGTATACCTATGTATATGAAGTGGTATCATGTCAGTGGAAACTCAATGTTAGGACAGACACGAGGGTAAAGAATTAAGTTTCAGTTTCACAATGTTCCATTGTTGCACAATAACTTTTTGTGGGAAGAAAAAAATTTTTTTTCAAAATATGTAAATTTGATCTAGATATATTTTGATATAATATATTGATCCTTTTCTACATATATAATTACCCTTCAAAGTCCTTCATTATATTTGAAAATCAAAGTTTTGTGATACTGGCAACTGTTTCTTTAAGCCAGTAGACATGTTAAATCTTAGGCCCTGCAGGGCTAGTAGGCATAAAAACATGTGGCACTGACTGATATTCTATAACCTATTTTCCTTTCCACTTTCCAGAGCATTACAGAGATTCCAATAGTTACAGCAATGACAGTGGTGCCAGCAGCGAAAATCATCAGTAACAATACAATAACATCATCATCAGGGGCAGTAACAATCCCAACTACTACAACAACGACTTTCAATCCGTATTTACCAGGGCCCCCTTACGGACCTCACTCAGCATCAGGGAGCACTTTATCGCCAAAAAATAAGACATTAACTGATGGAGTTGGGATCCCAGATGTGAATGATGCTGTGTGTGAACATATAATTACAACATATATTATACCAAATTTCTTGCATTTTGTTGCATTTGTTATGGGATATTTCTACTTTCGTATCCAAGACAACGAGCAACTGTATGCTTTGATGGAGAAGGTAAGAAAAATGAGTTATGTAACATTCTTTTTTTTTTCTCTTGTTTAAATAGTGCAATTTAGCCATCTCTGTTTCAACTTTGCTAAATGATGTTATATATAATGACTCCAACATTTGATGGTTGATATGTATTTGAAACTTCTTTTTTAAAAGTACATATTGCAAGATATGATAACTTTTTTCAGAAATGATTCTGATTTTAATGATATTTGTTTTTCTTTGTTTTTGGAAACTGCAGAAATGCTATCGAGAAAATTCCCCCAAAAAATCTTATAATGCAATATTGAATTATGTTCAGTTTCTTCGTGTTTATTTCAGGTGTTTCTCCAAGCTGGCCCATCACAGGGCAAAGTGGCATCACAGTCAAATATGATCAAAAGACTGAGGTAGGGAATCTTATTAAGTGTTTATTTTATTTTATTTCTCAAATTTTTTGTGTTTTTTATTATGTTTTTATGCAGCATCGCTTACCTGTTTCTTTTATCTATGGTGAATAAAGAAATGAGAAATTTCAATTTTTCTATACTTTTTTCTTTTATCTTTTTGTATTTCTTGTCTTATTTTATCTGCAGTCTGAGATTTTCACTCTTGGACAAAAAAGGTAATACGTGGCAATCCATGACTTCTACTTACACATTGAAAAATTATATCTGTTTTGTTTCTGTATTTTGTTACAATATCTATATGCGTAATATTTGTCTACTTATATCAGGTTATTCCTAGCTCTGGGTGCAGTGTGGGTGCTGGCAGTTATGTTACAGTATCTATACATGTCATATATGTCTACTTCTATCAGGTTATTCCTAGCTCTGGGTGCAGTGTGGGTGCTGGCGGTCATGGCTCTGCAGGTGCTTTTTGTGGCAGTGTTTGGAATTGACCAGAGAAATGTGCTGTCCAGGGCTGGGTGAGTGGCTGACATGTACTGTTATTACTCTGAAGTCAGACCTGATATATCCCCTCTCTCTCTCTCTCTCTCTCTCTCTCTCTCTCTTAAATGAGAATGAAAATGGTGGCTACAAATGTATGTGAGGAGTTGGGCAAATGACATATGAGCTTTTGTCACATGGGACATCATGACTGTATAACATTAAATTTGGCATTCCACTAATAAAATTGAATTTTTCAAAGTCACTTGTCTGATAAGACTCGTCAAAATTTGGGCAGTTTAGATTGATCTTTCATTGTTACTTTATTTCTTCTTTGGCCTTAAAATTTTGATTTCTGTTAGTAGTTTTCTTAGTATCACTTTACGCGAGAGACCAATACTCTGAAAAGTTTTACACAAAACTGTATAAGGTATTTACATTAGTCTGTTCCTCCATTTTATTTCAGAATCCTGGGCCAGTGGATCCTTTTTGGCATAGAGCTGGTGGGAATTATTATTGTGAACTCTGTGAATCTTGCAGTGATTATAAACTTTGCTACACAGTGTGAAATGCTGATATTTTTCATCAAAGGAATCAGTACAAAATTGCAGGAGAAATCCATGGATTTGAAGTCAGCTATGAAGGTTTGTTATAACACCTATTAATTAGTCAATTATTATTATTATTATTATTTGTTTTGTTTTTTCTAAATAACTGGTCCCATTTTTTTTGTCTAGTTTTGTTTTCAAAATCAGGGAATAATTGGCCAATGTGGGTTTATTTATTAAAACTAAAGCAATTTACATTTTGTATTTAACAAAAGTTTAATATGTAACATGAGTATTTGTTTTGATTTATTTGCGTGGTTTTGATATAGTAAGCAAAGTGTTTGTATTCTCTGTGATTGCGCTGGTTGTGCTGTATCTCAACTAACACAGTCAGTGCAATGGAACTATGTAAACTTTTGCACATCCAGACACAATGCTTTGTTTTATTTTATTCTACAATGTGCAATTTATAATTTGAATTGACAGGTTTTTCCTTAATTAATTTTATTCTTCATGTTAACAGTCCTTTATCATAAGCATACAAAATTCCAGTTGTTAGATTATGAAATCTTGTAGATAGATAGTTGATATTAATTACATATAACATCTTCAGATTAAATATGCTCATTTCTCATTTCAAATCCATCACAATTTCATATTATGATAAATATATTCACCAAAGATGAAAATGTCTTATGCTTTTAATATTGCATAATCAAAAATCAATCAATTTATTATTTAAATTGTGTAATCTTGCAGGATGTCCTGATGGTCAGACACTCCATAGGGTCACTGAATGGACCCATGTCACAGATGACCTCTCTGGCCGCTATAAGGTTTGCTGAACTGACTATCATTGGTAAGTCTCAGAGTCCATTTCCCTCACACCCCCCCCGT